CCCTAGCTAACATGACTAGTGATCAGGGTGATGTGAATTTTAGACACACAATTTGTGGAGGGCCACAGGTTGCCTAGCCCTGGTGGAACCTGGTTATAAATATCAGGAAATAAACAGTACTTTCTGGAGCCTCAGATTTGCTCTACCAGAAAGAGACACATGTCTGTGGTTTTCTGTTGATGTGCCTGTTCCTTAAAAACTGGGCTAGAAATTTAAAGAGTGCCATTTGTTTTGTCACACATGCATTTCCACCATGGGATGGAAGGGTTTGCATGCCTAATCAGGCCTTATCAGGTGCCTCTCAGCAGTTTCCCATTCTGGTTTGGTCCACCTTCCATGCCCACCATTTCTGTATGAATTGAGTCAACACAATTGTAAAGCCAAGCTTTACCCTCTCCTGGACCAGGAGAATGAGAGGCAACTTTATTCCTCTTCCCCTGTTTCTGAGAATGGAGAACATTTAGGAGCTTTCCTTCAGTAGAGATGTAAGGAATTCACTGATACAAAAGGGAAAGTAGGCAAAGCCAGTTTAAAAAATGGGCAACAGTTGCATGAAACTTTGCTTCACATAGATCCTGTGCATGGTTCCAGCTAGGAAAGTTACAGTTCCCCTGGAAAATTTCCATCACAGGTCTTCCATGAAATCACTGCCATATCTGTATATCCTGTGTAATTGTCTGTTGCCTCTATGCATGTAATCTGATTATCTGCATTTAATAGCATTTGTATATGTTGTTGTAGCAGTAGAGACCTATAGCTGTGAAAATTTTCTAAGATTAATAAAGTGCAGAGATGACAGGTTGTAAAAGTTTTATTAGAAAAAGTTTTACAACACTCTTATCACACATCTGAAGTACAAAGTACTTCACATCTGAAGTACAAAGATGATTGTAACCTAACCTCAGTTGAGAGTGTGGAATATTTACCACAGACAACATCCCAGGGTTGCTGTAAGCCTTTATCTCTCAGCCTCCCTCCTACATCCAATATGGGAGTAATACTCATGGACAACATTGTCCCAGTTTGCAAGATCACCATGGATATCAAGTTGTTGTAATGGCAGCTTTTGGCAGAAGCAAAACATTCATGTGCAGATTTTTTGTACTTTAAAAGGCAGCTGACTGAATGGGTGGTGTAAAAGTTATGACAGTGATAGGAATGTGTCACTTTCCTGTCTGAATAGCTTACACCTAAGCAAAACATACTGGCTAGGATTCAAACTGCTACTTTAATTGTGAGAAGAGGGCATTTCTAACCAGTGGAGTCTAATGCTACAGCACATACTGCTGTTGAAACTCTTCTGTGTTGAAAATGGCTTGCTAAACAGCTATGGAATGCTACTGTTGAAAAAGTTCCACTGGGCTTCTGGAGCTAGTTATGAGTTTATTTGAATGTTAAACTTTGTAGACTAATCATTCTTAGCAGCTGGGTTGGGTTATAGCTCTTATTAGCCATGCTGGCTGAGGATTATGGTCTAGAATGGTGGCTTCCACACTGTACCAAGGAAACCTGGGGTAAACTTAGTGGATGTGTTCAGACTAGGCCATGCCATGCAGTAACTGCAACATAGTGTCTCACCTTGTATCCTGGGTTCAGACAGGCACTTGGTTTCCATGCACACATGGTTTCCATGCTTTTCCATCTTGCTTCCAAATGTGGCCAGTGTTCCATGAGCACCTCTAGCTCCCAGTATGCACTGGTTCTCCCTGCCTCTCTCATTGGCCCAGATGCTCCTTTGGGTGTTGCCTCAGTCATCTGCCTGTTTTTTGTTTGCTGCTGCTATGAAAAGCAGCTGCCTACTCACTAGAGTAGCACTGTTGCTCTCAAGTATCACTACAGTGGCACGCCCCTTGTGCTGCTGCACCTTGTGCCGATGTTCAGCCATTGCTGCCCACACCGCCCCCTATCCCCACTCCCTTCCTGTACATGTATCCTTACCTCCTCGTGCGTGGGACTTGCACATGCTGCCAAGGGGATCCTTACCCCCTGTACCCAGGCTCAAGGAAGGCATGGGCACCCATGCCACAACCAGAGGGAGCCCATCCTGCTGGGTAGACTTTCCCGAAGTTTTCTGTCTGGGCATCTGTTTTCTAGCAGGCTGTTGTGTCAGACTGCAGCTGTGTGTGTCTGGGGGCAGGCAATAAAGGACAGTGGGGCTTTCTGAGACCTGAGGATTGTCAGGAGCAAGATGAGAGTGGAGGAAAGCGGAGGAGACATAGACTTTTCAGGGTGATTGCCCTGATGTTGATGCCTACACACAGTCAGCATGTTCATCAAGGTGTAAGGCAACCTTGTTGCCTTATCTAATTTATTATTGTTTGGGATATTTTAATTTTATTTATAAATTTTATTGTAAGCTGTCCAGGGCCAAAAGCGATGGACAGCCTAGAAATATCCTAAATAAATAAATAAAAACCTTCATAGGAGGAGACAGCTGGCTCCTTGGATGACACAGAAATACTGCCATTTCTGAGTGCTGCTCCAGTAACAATCAGACCCAGAGCATCCAGCATGGTTGTCTGTGCAGTTGCTGCTTCTGCAGCTGACATGCATGATGCCCCACTGCCAAATTCTGAAGTTGTGGCCAAACATCAGGAAGGCAGCAAGAAGACAGAAAAAAAAGGCCAAGGAAAAAAGCAGTGTGAGGCAGCCAACCCGAATGCAGCAGGCTTCAACCCAGCAATTGCTAGAAAGAACAGGATACTGCAAAATGCAGGCTGGAGCAAGCTTTTCTGCAATGGAGCTGCACAGTATTTTGGGTGTGTTTTGCAAATTGCGGCAGAGTGCACCTAGACATTAAATTACAATCCTCTAAAACACTCAGTTTCCTCATCTGATAACTAGTTGGGGAGAAAGTTAGGGTTGCATGCTGTAAGACAGGGGTGGCCAACCTATGGCACGCTTGCCACAGCAGGCACGCAGAGCACTCTGTCGGCATGCAAGTCAAGTCGCCCGTGCATCGCCCCAGCATCTGAGCATCGGATAACAGGGAACATAAAGGCCATGCATCTGCTTGGAAAGGAGTACTGGTGCCAGGAGATGATGTCACAACCCACGACTCATTAGCTGCGATACGTCCCAACTTTCGCATGGCCGGTCATTGGACTGTCAAGAACACACACACACACACACACACACACACACATTTTGCTTGGACTGGTCATGAGTTTTTTTTCCTCAACTAAAACCTATGTTTTTGGTTTTATTTCAGTGCTGGTACTTTGTGATAAATTAGTGGGTACTGGGTTGCAGATTGGGCACTCAGTCTCTAAAACGTTTGCCATCACTTGGTAAGGGTTAGAAAAACGAGATCTCCTGGCGTGAGTTTGACAGTTGGAATGTGTTTAGGACAGGGAGAAATGAAGAGCAGTGCAAAAAAAGATAATAAAAAAAGGCTTTTTCAAAATCCTATATTAGGATTAATGGAACGCTATATTAGGATTAGGAATATACACCAGTCTAAGGTTAGGGTTAGAAAAACATGGTTTCCTGGCATGATTTTGATGGTTGGAATGTGTTTAGAATGAGCAGAAATGAAGAGCTGTGCAGAAAAAGCTGCTCGAGGAAGGCTTTTAAAAATTGCATTCCTTTCAGTGGAACTTTAGCTCTATATTAGGGTTAGGGGTGTGCACCAGCGTAGGGTTAGGGTTAAGAAAAGGAGGTGTCCTGGCATTATTCCGATTATTGGAATGTGTTCAGAATGGGCAGAAATGAAGAGCTGTGCAGAAAAAGTAGTTCTAGGAAGGCTTTTCAAAATTGCATTACTTTCAATGTAACTTTACCCTTTTTTTAGGGTTATGGGTGTGCACCAGGGTAGGGTTAGGGTTAGAAAAAGGAGGTGTCCTGGCATGTTCTTGATGCTTGGAATGTTTTCAGAATGGGCAGAAATGAAGAGCTGTGCAGAAAAAGCAGCTCTAGGAAGGCTTTTTCAAAATCACATTACTTTCAACGGAACTTGAGCCCTATATTAGCTTTATGGGTGTGCACCAGGGTAGGGTTAGGGTTAGAAAAAGGATGTTACTTTGTATGATTTTGATAGTTGGAATGTGTTTTGAACTGTCAGAAATGAAGAGTTTTGCAGAAAAATCTGCTCTACGAAGCTAAATGTTTATGCTGCCCAATAAAAGGAACTCTTTTTGCAATTTGAATGTTTCATGCAGTTATGTTGGAGACAGGGTAGCATTGCTAAAATGATATATGCTTTTCATACAAATGTCTGTAATTTTAATAAGTTGGAAAAATTCAGATGCTCACAGAAACTTTATTTGGGTCCCCTCTTTGGGTGGTATACTGGGAATCCTTGAGTATGTTTAATTGAGTCTTGGGTTTTTCTGCTCCTGTCCTCTTCAGACTATGAGTTCAGGTAGGTCACTGACTCTAAACTATGTACCTCCCAGTGGTGTTCAAATGAAATGAAGAGGAGAAAGACCATGCAAGTCCTGGGTTTCTATGTTCCTCACAAAAAAGGTTGAAAAATAAAAATGTGTTGCTTCCTACTGGTTTGTTTTGGAAACTTAAACTTAATTTCTTAAAATTTCAGTGAGAGGTACACAGTGGTTATAAGCACTAACTTTGCTTGGCATATAGGTCTCTTCTTTTGGTAGTGGCTGGGGGAGTGCTTGTTGTGGAAAGCTTAGCAACGAGCATTTTCAACAGTCTTTCTGTTCAGCCTAACTTACGATGACATCCTAGAACACTTTACAATGTTCTCATTAAACTTGAATGTATTTGAGCAAATCATACCTTGAATTGGAGCCAGTGCAACTTGAATGGACTTCCCTTGATGCAGAATTATTTTCCTTCCCCTGACTCTGTCTGTGCCCTGATCTGCTTGGAAGGTCTCTCAGAAGAGTGTATTTGGAGAGAACATCAGGGTCATACTGCTAGTGGATGACCAGCAGTGGATACAATGCATTATAAACTGTGGGAGTAAATAGCAGGCCTCTGGATCTCCAGGATCAACCTTTAATCCTTCATGTTGTTTTGCTTTTGTATTTTAGGGATCTGCTGACCCTCTAAACAGTGCTTTCCATTTGACATACAATATGGTATTGAATTTGCTGCGTGTAGAAGAAATTAATCCAGAATACATGTTAGAAAAGTCTTTTTACCAGTTCCAGCATTACAGAGCTATTCCAGGAGTAGTTGAAAGTAAGTTACATGAAATGCCTAATTTTTTGGCATAATACATCTAATATTATATATATTTCAAAGGCTAATTGGCACAATACTCTCTAGAGAGCCTGTTAATTTGTTGATGAGAACTTACTAATTAGATTGAGATTCAAAGTACTTGGACGTGCCTAGTAGGTTTTTTCCTTCCTTTACTTGAATTGACAGACACCTCCCCCCATGCCAAATCACAAGCTGATTTTGAAAATATTCTCACTTTCAGTTATTATTTGCCATGTAGCTGGCTTGGAATGGGGCTGCCATTCAAGGAGCACAAGTCAACTGGCAGGACGAGTTGCTGGGAGCAGGGAGAGATCCCTTTTTCAGCAAAGTGGACCTGCCAAAACTTTTTTGCTAGATTCTGTGAGTGGTAGTTTCACTGTAGAAACTATAGGATTTAACTTCTTAAATTTACTGCTGCAAAGTTCAGCTTACCTGGCAAGAACACCTATTTGATGCATGTGCTTTCAGCACTTTCAAACTGTCAAAGTGTAAAAGATAAATATAGCATATCTTGAGTGTACAGTTAAACTGCACTGTGGAGAGGCCCTTGGAAGTGAATAGCCAATGTTTTACAAGAATGTTGTTATCCTTCCTTGCATGGACACAACACCTAGAGGCATCTGCATAGCCCATTAAAAATCCCTGCTCTATTCTCACACTGGCCTTGCACTAGATTATTCTGTGTAACACCTGGATACACTAAATGCCACTACTGAAGGCAAGAAGGACAAGCGAAGGGAAACAAGGCTCTTTGAAACCCAGTGGCAATTTCTCTGCACATGGTTAGGATGAATTGTGTCCATAATTTGCTGTAATACTCTTGATATCATCACTTTAATTTTGCAATATTTGTTTGCAGAGGTAACTAAGTTGGAACAGCAGTACAATGAGATTGAAATTCCAAATGAGGAAAATGTGGTCATCTACTATAAAATCAGACAACAACTTGCTAAACTGGGCAAAGAAATAGAAGAGTACATTCACAAGCCAAAGTACTGCTTGCCGTTTTTACAACCAGGAAGATTAGTAAAAGTAAGTTGTAGTTATCCAGGTTCTGACATAACAAAAGTTTTTTAGAATTGCATTCTTCTATGTGTTGTTTGTTCTGCCCTACAGGTTTTAACTTATACTTGACGAAATCCAATGAATGGGTTGGATCCAGACAGATATAGTTAGAACAAATGCATTGAAATAAATTAGACGTAAGTTAGTTATGAGTCTAAGTAAGTTAGTTAGTGGGTCTAACAGCATGACTAAGTTGGGATACAAAGTTATATATATTAAAAACAACAAAAAAATGTTAGGTAACCCAGCAAATGAACATTAAAAAATACAGCCTTTAAAAATACTTCATCATAAAAATGTAGCAAACATCCAGAAACATACTTTTCCATCAATAGAGGGGAATATCTTTAGAGGAAGAGAGATACTTCGAAGTCTCAGTCTCAGGCACTATGCAGTTCCACTGAAGGAAACTCTCTCTACCACAATGCTAGTAGCATTTACTGGTGCAGTGGATTTTCCAGGGAGACGATAATGTCAGCAAATGCTGTTGGCACTAAAGTAGACGTAGCCTTGCCAGTGCAACATCGTTTATGTTGGAGGTAAAGTCATATTGGATAGTGCCCAATGTTTGCAAGGTTCTGTGCTTGAACTGTTTCTAATGTATTTATTTGTGTTTTCTTGCTGTTTTCCAGTTTTATATAGTGTTTTTTCCTTGTTAATAATATAAAGTATGCTTAGTTAACATTATGTTTCAGAGAGTTTTATGTAGAATGCTTGCTTTATCTGTTTGTTTTGGGCTGTTTAACACATAGCTATTTAGAAGTAATAATTTAGTATAGCTTGTCTTTTTCCTTTAAAATAATTTTAAGAAACTCCACAGTACTTTCTAAGTTGGCCTTTTCTACTTTTGCATATGCCCAGCTTCAGAGTATTCTTTTTGGGACTGACTGCTTTCCTGTAAAGTTTGACAATGCCCTACACAATAGATCAGTGTGGTATGTTTTACAGTGAATGACCAGCATATTTGACTGCCATTTCCTTATATACCTGTGAAGTTTAATAATGATTAATTTTATAATATAAGCATCTTAACAGAAGTGATCAGTTAGGTTTTTTTTATTGACTGACCTGTATATTTTGATCAGACCAATATGAATTTTAGCTTCCCTTGATGAGGATAAAATAAATACCAATACTCTTTTCAAATTTAGTGATATTTTGCAGTACTTCTCTTTTATGACAGTAACTTTTCATTTAGCTATAGTTCTCTGATTTCCTTGAAGCCAAAATGTAAATATTGCTTCGAATGCAGCTTTCTATTCAAACTTTTTTCTACTCCTTAGGTAAAAAATGAAGATGATGACTTTGGCTGGGGAGTTGTGGTGAATTTCTCTAAGAAGTCCAATGTTAAGGTAAAATAATATCCAGTGGCTTTCTTCAATAAATATACATTTTACATAAATAGTGATAATTTAAAGCTATGCTGTAGTTCCTACTGAGATGCTCACTTTGTAAAACAAGTTTGCAGGTAGTCTGGTTTCTTATACAGAGCTTCATGTCTAAGGTATGCAGCCTTAATGTGTACATGAGTTCACTGGAGTTTACTGTGAAGTATGTGTGCTTTGGAATGAAGTCATAGCAATAAACTGCATTCCCCAATTCTCCTACCTTTGTGTTTGAGATGTATGATGTCAAAGAGTGGTTAAGACTTTTACAGCTAGTGTGCAGATGAAAAATGTAATAGATAAAAATATTATGTACAAGTTTAAAACTTATGCAGATGCTCTGTTAAAAATATTCAAGATGAAAAAATCACTCACTTACCTGAAGCCCTTTTAATAACTGAAATATGGAAATATTGGCGCATGGTTCTCACAGTCAAGATATGTAAATGCTGAAGTACATTGATCTGAGGACAATTGTGACCTAAAATTCGGGGCATGTAGTTGTTAATTAATGGGCAGTATCCAGTGCTGTCACAGCACGTACTGTCGTGGGTGTTTTCAACTAGTGTTTTTGTCATTTTTTTCTCTTTGCCTAGTAATTTCTAATAAGGCAATACTACTGGCGATTTGCGCTAGCAGTGTGACAGCTTTGCTTGCTTCCTTTTGTTTCTGTGATAGTCAAAATGGATTTGCTGAATCAATATACAGTTGTACCAATTTTATACTTCCAAATTGGCTTCTTAAAGCCAAATGGCTTACACTGAGGCAGCAAAGTGTTTTCAGACTTAAATTTCTGGTTCCTAAAATCTGATTCTCTTCATTTGAATGGTGTGTGAAGAGGGGAAATAATACTGATTAGCTATTGGGTAAAATATTGGATAGATTATTGATGAAGGCAAGTCACTGGGCAGAATGTTGTTGCTCTGAAACATTTCTAGTACTTGGTCTTTAGAGACAACTTACAATCCATTTACTGTAGAATTTCATGTGTGGCTATCGGCAATTGAAAAGTACCTGTGCTGATCAGATTTCTAAGATCTGGTCACCAAAACTTGACCAGCTCTATCTTTAAGGCCTCCAAAATCATCTTTAAGGCCTCTGATAGTTTATATTTGTGGCTTTGCAGTGCAATCCTATGTAAATTTATAAATTAGTCTCACTTTGTTTAGTAGGACTTACTCAGTAGGACTTAATTCAGTGTGTTTAGGATTGCAGTCTTAATTTTGTCTGTACTCCTGTCTGCCACAGTGAGTAAGGAAAATACGTTTACACAGTTTCCCTTAATCTGGGTTGACCAAGAAATGGTAGAATTAAACTGTGCTGGAATTGCCTTTCCTTTCACAAGTATGAAAAGTTACTCCTTATTGGTTGTTTTGTTTTTTAGACATGACCTATTTATATATAAGGAAGGGTTGGCTTTTCATGAGTCCTTTTTTCATTATCAGCTATTGTCCCCAGATGCCAGGGGCATGTATACACTTTGCTTATTGTGGAGCTCTGTTTTTTGTTTTTGTTTTAAAAAGTCAATATTCAGGAAATGGATTTTTTTTTTTGTTGGGGGAGTCAGAATTTTCATTTATTACCTAAGTATGTAATTGCCCAGAGATAGCAGTACTCAAATACTCTGTGGCAGACCTGAGTTTGAGACCTTTTATGGCACCTTGAGACATAGTAACTCTTCAAGGATGGCTTGAATCCAAAGGACCATGAGGACAATATGTATTAGTGCTGTTCCTCCTGCACAAATGCCAGTGGAAAACTTCTGACAGTGCTACAGAGAAATATGCTGAATAAGGATAATATTGGGAAATATCCAAGACACCACTGGCACAAATGTGAATTTCATTGCTCGAACATAAACAGATTCTAGTGCAATACCAGTATCATTAACTGGCACAATAGGTTTCCCAGGGAAACTTAATTGCTGTAGTGCTTGCTTATGCTAGCACAGTGTAGTTTTCATTAGCTATGGTCCAAACTCTAATGGACCATAAGATCTCAAAAGCTTCCAGGAATGAAGACCTCTTCTAGATTTGGGCTTGCTTCTTTCATGCATTGCTTTTGTGTTGTCAGAAAGACCTGTTCCAACAGCATAACAGGCCTTTCATTACACCCATGAGGAGGGTGCCTAATGTGCCATTCGCTGAAGGAATGTTGTATGTTTCTCCTTTTCATGTTCTCCCTACCCACCCCAGTATTAACTATTTTCTTTTCATGTCCCTATTTCATCAAATAACATGGATGTTCTTTTTAATTACAATTCTGCAGTTTAATTTCCCCTGTGTCTGCTTTGGTTTATACCTACCTTTTTGATGCCCAAATCATTTTGGTATCATGTTGCATTTCTGTTAGAGTAGGGGGAAATTAACTTTTTTATTTTTTGTAAGGTTTGGACCTGAAAGGGACAGCTGGGACTAGTTGAGGTATAAGATCAGGTGAATGAAGAAATAGCTATTTCCCACTTCTGCTTCTCTTTATCAGTGACATGAGCTAAATATTTGAATTTGCATGCAATTCTTTTTGTCCACATAGCTCATACTCTATAATATCAGTAGAGATTAATAGACTCCCTTTGGGGGCTTTCGGCGTGATATAGCTGGCTATCTGTTGTAGAATGCAATTGGCAATGATGATGATGTAATCTGGCATTAGTTACTGAGTGTGCCATTAGAGTATTTTGTGCATATGTCAGCTTGTTCCAAGTCTGAGTAAACAGCACATGTTTTCAAATATTGGCTTAAAGCTGCCTTTCAACATATGGTTTGCATTTTCAAATGCAGTTCAGATGACACACGTAAACATAGGTCTTTATAAACGTAAATTAAAACAGCTGCTCTAAATACGTTTTGTACAGGATAGGACAGTATTATTCACAGCTGCTTTTATTAAGAAATACTTTGATTATTTGGTAACCTAATAGTGGAACAGGTCATGAGCTTCTGTTTACATCTGGGAATTTTAGAGCTATTTGTTATGCAGTGTAAAATTTTTAGCATCTCCACTAGTCTTCCTTCAAATGCTATGCCCTTTTGAGCAAAAACTGTTTTCATTTTGCCTTTGTCAAAAGGAAGTGGGCTGAAAATGTCCAAATACATGCTGTTTGATGAGGTGTTTCTGTTCTGGTACCCCAGTTTAGGTACTTTGCCAAAGAGCTTTTGTTATATCCCTATATTGTATAACAACAGGCAGTAGAGTAACTAGACTCCACCATGTCAAAGTAGTTCTGTTCTGAGAATGGCAACAGTACTTCCAGCTGTGCACACCTGCCCTGCCTATCTCTACCCTACAATTTCTTGCAATATACGCAAGTGAGGTCTAAGCAGAGCTAAACCTGGTGTGCGTGGCGGGGGAGCGGGGTCCATTATGCTCAGCTGAGAATAGCTGAAGCGCACATGGTAAAATGTGGACCTGGAATGGGTGTGAGACCAGCTTTCTGGCAGGCCCAGCCAGCACCATGGCTTTGTTAGGCCTTTGGTTTGCTAGCTGACATGAATGCCTATCTTGTAAAGCAATTGGGCAGTAGTAGGACAGGCTTTCTCGCTGAAAGGGAGATTACCACGAAAATCAGTAATTTTCCATCTTTTTCATCTGGGATGTGCACCCTGCAGAGTTTACTTTGATATATAATGTACCTATGAGTTGTTTTCCAGCCTGCTGATGAAACAAGGGGGAAGAGAACAGAGGAATGTCACCCATTCCTCCTAGTTTCTTCTGCTTTTAGCTTTATTTGTTTGCCTGCCCCTTGCTTTCTAGGTTAGGGTTGCTGATGGAGCAAGTGAAGCAAGACTCATCTATAGCAGCAGCAACCTGGTTTTTCTCCTTGGTACCACCCCTGCCCAATGTTGTATTTGAGTAGGATTGTGTAGTGCTCCAGTGAGGAACAAAAATAATCTGTTTCTATATGGGACAGCTTGTATGCCTGCTAGGGGAGAGTTTTGGAAGGCAGGCTCTATTCAAAATAAGTTTACTTTTGTCTGTTGCATTCCATGGAGCTTTCTCCTAAGTAAGCTGTGAAAGTCCAGTTTTAACAATATGTGCACTCAGTCATTTCCACTGCATTCACAAGGACTCCCTTTTGCTTTTAAGGAAGTATACACCAGAATGCAGCCTTTTACATTTCCATGGAGTTAGCATGAGAGGGACAAGATTGAATGTAGATGTTGAGGTTGCAAGATGCAGCTACATGAATATGTGCATTTTATTTTGCCCCATAACATTTTTATTGCCATATACATTTATGACTGCTGCATTAAGCTTGATCTGTGCATGTTTGCTCAGAAGTAATTTGTTGGGACTTACTTCAAAGTAAGTATGAAAGTTGCAAGGGAAGGTGCACTCCTTATGCACACTGGTTTTTGCTGCTTAACTCAGCTCCCTGGTAAACATGCATTTGATTGGGATGTCCGTATTGGTATGTGGAAGGCACCTTAAATTCTTGTGCTTTCACTCATGCATTAATACCAAACTCTGTAACACTTTTACAACCTGAGAAGGGAAGCAAATTTGCAGCTACTATTCTGCTCTTTCATTTTGGTGATAAATTATCCTGAGCCCACCTTTTACTGTTTCTAGCACCACAGTGGTTAACACACCAGTTGTGCATGATACTCCTTTTAAACAGTCCTTCTTAGGAAATACTTGCAGCCTCATAAAAAAAAAATCTAAATCCAGGACTTGCATGTAGCTGGCCTTGGGCACTAGTATGTCTGCCAAAAAACAAAAGATAGCAGCAAAGACAGGAATTCACAGTCTTATTCAGGATTTGTCTGCTTCCCCCTGTCCCCCAGTTTATAAACATCTTAAAAAATGCCTTGGGAATGGATTCATGTAGATTGAGTTCATCATTATAAGTATATTACAGGAGGTAGGCTAGGGCTAAGAAAGCTTGCAGGGTTTAAGTCCTGCAAAGTAGCCCTCTGTTGGTATTCCAGAAAACTGTATGCTACAATGCTATGCTATGTATGCTATGACAGTTTGGCATTGCAGTCCAGCATTGTTGGTGTTTTAAGAAAATACAGACAGGACTGTGAAATTGATTGTAGCAGCTATATGATTTATTGAAGGATAGAACAGGTTGCAGTGAGACACTGAGACATGCATGCACATGCCCCTATACACACCCCTGTATGGCTATGGCTGTATTTAAGAGAACCTGCCGTTTAGCTGCTGCAGGAGGCCCTGGCAGAATATCCCCTACCTCTCACTTAGCCTTGGTCTTGGAGCTGAGTCAGTGTGCCATGCATTTCCACAGAAGATAGTATTTTCTCATGCGATGTAGAAATAAAGAGCCCACTTGTCACCTGAATCTGTTACGCACAGCCAGGAGGGGGCTAGAAGCTAAGCAGATAAATCCCCCAGTAATAACTATGCCCTTTACCTCTATTTTTATTTTTATTATTATTATTATTATTATTATTATTATTATTATTATTAGAACATTTCTATGCTGCCCCTTGCCGAAGCCTCAGGGTGGCTTACAACACAATAAAATACAATACAAAAATAACAATATAAAATTAAAATTAATAATATAAAATAAATAAATATAAACGATATAAAGAAGTTATAAAAGAAAAGAAAGGAAAAGTCACCCTGGCCAGATAAATAAGTAAATATTGTTAACAATTTAAATGACGTTTAAATAAAAAGGTCTTCACCTGGCGCCGAAAAACAAATAACGACGGCGCCAGGTGGACCTCTCTGGGGAGCATATTCCATAGATTGGGCACCACGGCAGAGAAACCCCTCCTCCGAGTACCTACCCTCCTAATTTCTTTCACGGAGGGTTCCCGGAGAAGGGCCTCTCCCGCAGATTTCAAGGGGTGGTTGGGCATGTATGGATGTAAGCGCTCCTTCAGGTAACCTCTACAGAAGACTTTGCCCAAAAACCCAATTCAAGTGTAAAGAAATCAAAGAACTGATGGTTTCAGCTTTGGGCAGAAGACATTGTGTGGGTACCAGTCTGTCCTCTCATAAACAACAGAGGGATAGAGTGGATGTACTTTTTTTTTTTTAATTGTGGTGGGGGGGTTAGTGATACATTACTAAGTTTTCCCCCCTTATTGCCTGCCTATGTTTTTGGTGCAAGTTTTTAGTCTTTTCTTTTTTCCAAAATGGGCAAAGCTTACATTTTCTTAAGGAAATCTTGCTTCAAAGTCCTTCCTTGACTGTACTAGTTACTTACTTGATTTAGTGGTACCTTTCCTGATCTGCAGCAGTAGACCTGCTATCTAAGTTTCTATTATTGTTGTTTTCAGTAACCCCCCAATTTGACTCTCCTGACTTTTTTTTCAGTTTCCTTTATGCTAGTCTCCACATAGCTGAAAAGTTACCTCTTTTAAAGTCCAACATGTCTCTCTTAAATTTCCTTTGTTATGGTCCACTTACATATAAGTTGAATTTCATAGCTGTGTAATCACTGTTTCCATTTGATTCAACAAAACATATGCCTTGCACCAGGTTCTGGACAGTGATTAGGATCAAGTTACCTCTCCGGTCAGTCTTGTTGGCTGGCTGCTTGTTGACAAAGAGGTGTGAGAAAGAGTATATACTGTGTGGTCTGTATAATTGTGGAATGTAGGAGTCCCCCAAACCTCCAGACTATATTTGAGGGGTGTGTGGAGATTACAGGGTGGGGAAAAAACTGTAAAGTTCAATTTTGCTAGTGGCTTCTATTCTGCTGGCAGAGGGACAAAGTTGGATTCAAGCGTATGGATCCAAGGAAAATCCAAACATTCTTAACTGTTACTCTTTGGAGTATAAGACCATACATAGACTTTTTAAAACAAGATCCAATGGACCACTTCATCATAAGCCTTAATCAAAATGAACATGAATATTTTCATGTATACACAAGAAGTGATAACATTTTTATATAGAATTGTATAGTTTGATATCAGTTGGTTTTTTAAAATTCTGTGGCTGAAGGAGACTCTGGTACAGGACTGACTTGTCATGCATTTCTTTCTTTCCCCTTCATTCATATTAAAGAATGGCTTCTTACACTTGCAAACCTTGATTTCTTTCTACTGCTACAGCCAAACTCTGGTGAACTGGATCCACTATATGTTGCTGAAGTTCTTTTGCACTGTAGCAAAGAGAGCTTGAAAAATTCTGCAACTGAGGCTGCAAAGCCAGCAAAACCTGGTGAGAAAGGGGAGATGCAGGTAAGCAACTTGTTTTGCTAAAGATTAATTAAAGATCATAAAGCAAAATCTTGGTGGAAAAATACTCCCCGCTTGCCCTGCAGCTCTTCTAATAAGTTACCGTCAACAAGTTAAGGTGTCAAGTGAGCACAGGAAAATCAGCATTCAGAAACCTTTCTCTTGATGTGAGCAACATAAAGAGCAGCATCTCTTCCCCTTGCAGTGCATTGCTGAGCTCTCCTCTGGGAATGAGACCCCAGAGGACAAGTAGTAGGACAAGCAGGAAGCATTAGATCAAAAGCATATGCACTCACACACATTCACATTCCCACAACATACATCTGTCCACCCTGACACACAGGTGAGGAGGGCTTTTTCTTGTTGCCTTCAGCAAGGGAAACAGTTCCCTTCTCTCCCTCCCTTCCTCCCTCATACAATTTCCCTTCACTTTACTCCAATAGTAGAGTTGACAATTCTGTGGAGTTCAAGAGAAAAAGTCTTTTTGCTGTAATGAAGCTACTCCAGTTGTTCCTAAACTAGGCACAGTCTGTTGTAGAGCATTGCTAGAAGATGCATTTGGGCCATCCAAAAGCTTTCTGTTTGAGACAGATTTCTTGGATTTATCTTATCTAAATATCTAAAACTGATTGTATTATTTATTCTTGCAGTCTGCCATTTTCTTTTAATTAATAAATAACAATTAACCAAAAAATACAAATTAAATAAGTTAATAAAAGTGACTGTTAAATATTAAAATTTAAATTAGTTTTTAAAATAACAGTTAAATAAAAAAGTTTTATCCTGGCACCAAAAAGAATATAAACTTGGTGCCAGGCAGACCTCTCCAGGGAACGCATTCCATAATCTGATTATGGAATCTAATCACATATTAGCTGATGTGTTGGACATGTTGGTGAATGCATTCACATTCCTCTGCATATTGCAGAAATTTGAATCAGGAATGTGGGTGCATAAAATAAATTTTTGAGATTGTGCTGTGAGAAGATAAACAGTAGGCTCTGTAGCCATAAAGTAACATTAAATCTTATTCCCAGTGGAAGAACTGCTTTAGTACTTTGCAGAAAAAATGACATCACTGTGGCATGTTAAAAACTAACTATGACCCCTTTTACTTTACATGACAACCCCTCATGTGTAACTATCCGTGGTCAAAATCCAGATTGCTTTTTGTAGGTTGCATGTTTTTTAAAGCAACCTTATCTAAGAACACAAGGTCTGTTCTATGGATTGTTTTCCTTATGGAATGTTGTCTCATCCAAACTACCATGAATGTAAAGAAAAGCAGCAAGCAAGGTACTTGGCAGGAACAGCAAAACCCATGCCACTTTTGGCAGTCTTCCCTGTGCCATTGTTTGTGATAGTCCATTCAAAGTGTCTGAGGGAGGAAGGGTACCCTTCCCACCTCCCCAAGTATCTGGAGCCTCATGAATAGGTAGAAAAGTTAGATGTACCAGAATTTCTTGTGGGCGGGGGGTGGGTGGGGGGGGGGACTCAAACCCTGAAGATCTTGCTGCAAAGTGATGGAAAGGCACCTCCTCCCTTTTGAGAGCAAAGATCATTCTCATCTTTACTTCTATTGACAATATTTTTCAAAGCTGACAGAAGGAAAAGTAGGGAAAAAACCTGCTTCTTACTTGGAGCCTAGCTGAGTCAATGTTTGGCCTTCACTCTGATAGCAGGAACTACTCAGGCAAGAAAAAATCATGCACATTTGGGGTGAATAGTTGCTTTTTACCATTATCCTTTTTGCCTTTCACCCTTTTACCAAAGGGCTGGCCAGCCAGTGCCAGGCCCACAAGGGTGCTGCCTAGGCACTTTGGAGAGATGTCACTGACTGTTAATTCAGTGATCGCTGTTCACCATCACCCAAAAAACCAAAAGAAGGTTAAAGGAGGAATGGCTGCAGTGAGTCTGAAGATGCCTTGCAGTCACTGTAGGGAGAGGAGATACGGTAGCTTTAGGTGCCAAGTCCCCTGGGATACCAGCTGGAGGAAGGAGGGGGAAGCAACCTATTATGAGCTCAATCATCTGTTGGGCACACTGAGGGTTGCTCATAAAACAGCCGACCTATTGTGCCTTATTGTCAGAGGGGGTTAGCATGACATGTGAATCTTTGTAATTATTATATCATTATATCTGTATTCTAGTTCATGTTAGAAAATGTGCTATCTAACAGTGGGATTCCATTACTATTGTTCAGTTTGTACAGAAAATAATAGGGCTATTTTGCAATTTGAGACTAAAAAGTGCCTTTTTACCTGCCTCTGACTTTTAAATAGGTTGTTCCAGTTTTGGTGCATCTTCTGTCAGCAATCAGCAGTGTTCGACTTTATATACCAAAAGACTTGAGACCTCTTGATAATAGGCAGAGTGTATTGAAGTCAATTCAGGTATTGTGCTACTACTGTATCTGTGGCTAGCAGTAACTGTAAGTTTTGCTATCCGTTTTGGCTAATGAGTTATAAACCCTGTAAATTAACTTGCCTGCAGAAGTGAATGGCCTTCTGTAGGCTGAATCATTGTATTTCAGAGGATGTTTGTACGCAGTTCAGGGTATTTTTTCATAACCTAAGCTTTACAGGTGCTTCTGCACAACTTTGTCCTGGAGCTGTTTTGATAGATTCTTGGCCTTGCTTTAGATATGCTCTGCAACATACTCTGGAGCCTTCCTAGAACAGGCGTTCTTAATCTGATATCAGGTGGGCCTGGAATTACATGCAGGGGCACGCCATTCCCCAACTTACAGTACCCAGGTGGAAGTAAAGTATTCTGGTTGTGCCAGAGCATATTTAGGTATGTCCAAGCAAAGGGGTTGAACACTTAGGCAACCAACAGGATCCAATTTGTTTTTATTTACTTAACTTTTGTGCTAACATATTTTGCACCATCCCAGTGTTCAGTATCTTACGTGCCTTGCATGATAACATGGCCAATGAAATCCATTTCAATTCCAGGCTGTAACCCAGCAAATTGTGCAAAAGGTGGGAGGGGAATGCTTCTGCATGACATTGTGTAGTATTAGCAAGCATTCAGACCACTTCTCGTACATCATAGACGATAATCCTTACAATACCACTCTAAGACAGGAGTGAACAACTTGGGCTTGGGGGGTCATTTTTGCCTCTCCATGCTCACCCCCAAACAATCAATTAAAAATTGCATTTGTAATCATTATGAAGCACTAAAAGAGTCAAATCTAGTTTACAAAAAAGTTAATTTTACCCTATTGACATTTTGAATGGATACTTTTTTCTTCATATTTTCTACTGGGTCAAGGACTGGATATCCCACCTACTCCCCTTCCTTCTGAAAACCCTTCCTCTCCTTTCAGAAGAGGTTGATTCTCACCCTCAACTTGAGAAATCTCACTAGGCACAGTTGAACAAGCTTCAACAGCTTTGTACCCCCCCCCCCCCGCTCCTCCTCCTCTACAGAATCCTCTGATGGCTCTCACTGAACAGTTTGCTGTGTGAGAGAGACTGGCCCACTTTATGCAACTATTTCAGAAGGGCAGGGAGGTGGACTGTGAAAGAGAGATTTGCACACTAACAATGATTATGGGGTACATAAGCAGTGGCCCAGTGACTCTGTGTCACCCTTCAAGGCCCTTGCTGTGACCCCCCCCCCCCAAGAGCAGTCTGATTCCCCTCTACTTGCCTGTTCATGCCACTTCCTCTTCCAGAGATTCTTATGTGAATCACTCTTGCCCCACCTCTGCCAGCAGTGAGGAAAGAGAGGTCCATATCAGGATCAGCAGCATTTGTGCATCTGCTTAGGGGCCCCAAGCTAGCATCACTTTGAGCTAATCCATAATAACAGTAAGATTTGAATGGTGGATTTCCTGACTGTACCATGCTATAACAGTTCATAAACATCTGCACTATGCAATGATGCTATATAGTTTCTCTCTTTAGTCCAACGGCTTCCAGGTGTGTTGGGTAAAAACATTCATCATCCCCAACCATTGTAGCTAATAGCATTGATGACTGTTACAAAACCTAGAAGGTGCTAATTTGGAGGTAGCAGTAAGACTAGGGGAGAAATGGCAGAGCCTTAAGAATTGTATTTTTCTTTCTTTTAAGGAAGTACAGAAACGATTTCCTGATGGAGTTCCTTTGCTAGATCCCATTGATGACATGGGGATTAAAGATCCAGGTCTAAAAAAAGTAATTCAAAAAATAGAAGCATTTGAGCATAGGATGTATTCTCATCCACTTCACAATGATTCTAACTTGGAAACTGTGTACAAACTTTGTGAAAGAAAAGCACAGGTAAGGGACATCCTTCTTAAATGTATTAATTCGGGAAGGAGCATAATGCACGTGAGAGCATCATGCACATGAGAGCATGTGATTTGCATGCAGAAAGTCCAAAGTTCAGTCTCTGGTATCTTTAAAAAATGTTTAAAATAATCATGTAGAAAATGTGGAATGCTGGGCTAGATGGAGAAATAGTCTGCTCTGTTACATTATGTTCACACTCAAAGCAAAAACAGAGTGCTGTCCCCACTGTTTTTTCACAGTTTAAAGTCGTTTTTGTTTGTTTGCAAAAAAGATTGTTGCATTGTGGAGGCTTTTTGTTTTGGGTTTGGCTAATGCTATGCTAGATGGGACATGGTGGGAGTTGTAGGCCCTTTCCTTTCTAAGCTTCCACAGAATTTGGGCTATTTTGTTAGGGTTGGTAACAGGGCAAGGGCATTATTTCTATTTTATTTACTACACTTCATTTGGCATTCTCTCTAATACTGGAGATATTTTCTGAGAGAAAGTGAGGCAAAGCATGGAGGTGGGAGCTCTGCACCTGAATTCAGCTGCTCACCTTGCAAGGACAAGCCTCTGGATCAGATAAGGATGTAGTTGTACCTGTGTTTTCCCTCTTCCCTGGGGTGCATAACTTGACTTACTTCCTTGATGGAAGGCATCTTGGTGTGGTGTCTCTTCTTTATCAGAAGCTGATCTGCTTTGTCAATTTTTGGGGACTGACATGGAGAGTTATGACTGAGTTTGATTTTTTGAAACTTATTCTGGCTCTACAGTTCTGCATACTTTTTTGCCATTGAGAAATATTTGACTTTGTTTCCCTGTTTACAAAGGTTTTCTGAACTTACTTCACAGATATGTGGCCTGTGGAAAAATGGAGATGAAAGTTTTACATTCAAAATAACAACTCTTCTTTTTCATTCAGAAGGTGGAGTTGAAAGTGTCAGTGTCTGATTTCACATAATGCCTCCATGCCTATATTTAGATTGCTATAGATATTAAAGCAGCAAAACGGGAACTGAAGAAAGCCAGGACAGTTTTACAAATGGATGAGCTCAAGTGTCGTAAGCGTGTTTTGAGAAGGTTGGGTTTTGCAACCTCTTCAGATGTCATAGAGATGAAAGGACGAGTTGCTTGTGAAATTAGCAGGTAACAGATGGCACTACAGTAACCAATGTTTTGTAGAACTTTTGGGTCTGTGCACATTGCTGCTGCTTATCTTGGGCACAGTGGTCCATGGTGTTGGACTCTTGAAGAATGTCTTATTAATACATCTCAGGAAGAAAGGAAAAAAACACATTGAAGGGCTTCTTCTTAATAAGTTGTGAAAGAAAACACAACACACTGACCCCATTTTCATGTAACAGCAAATTAGCTGTGTGCAAGCAGGAGTAAGTGATCCCACTCACTCCTGCCAGTTCTGGGTTGAGTGCTCACAACTGGAATTAAGTGCAAACCTATCGACCTATTAGGGACCTTCCTTCTGAGTAAGCATGCACAGAATTCTACTGTAAGGCTGAGTCCAAAGTACTATACAGCCAGTTTTGTGGGCTTTGGCTTGTACTTTTCAAACAGGATCCACTCGACCCCTCTCCATCCCTCTGCAAACTTGTAAATAGAAGAATCTTTCTAAAGAAATTTTTGAGATGACATTTGGGGTGCGGGGCGGGGCTCCTTTCGAAGTAAACCCAAAAATTCTACTTAGTGCACCCCAACCCTTAGGCACACCTAATGCAGCTCTTTAGGTTTCAGCTTAAATAACCAGTTTAGAAACTTTCCAAAAATCAAGGCTTGTGATAAATACCTTATTCGTTTATGGAGGAACAATTATATGTTTCATATATACTGGATACGATCTATTTTAAATAATCTGTTTATACATGGTAATTCCCTCACACCAAGTACTCACAACCACTTGTGGTTCAGCACCATTAACTGGTACAAGGGAGCTGCAAAAAAGGACACAAATGAGAAATCTTGATGAACCTTTATCATCAATGTATTAATTTTTGTAAGTAAAGTAATTTTTGTAATTAATTTTTGATAAGACCTTTATTATTATGAAACTGCCTAAGGCAAGCAATCTGTATTCAGGACTTGAAATTCTGTAATATGTGAGGTTTTGCTACATTATACTAATCAGGTCTGAAGACTAAATAGATGATGTTGCTTGAGAAAAGCAAGCCATCTTGGTTTTTAATTTTACAGAATTAACTAGTACGGCAAGCTATTTTCCCTTTGCTGCCTCCAATCCTCTGGAACAAATTGCTGGGCACAGGGCATTACAGCTCCCTGCTTTTGGAACCCTTTTTTCAGTGAGGAAGCTGGTAGGTTGTTCCCTATGTAATTGGCTTCAACAATAGTAGCCATTAGAGCAGTGATTTCCAAAGTGGATGGTGGAAGGATCCAGTGAGGTGGTGACTGGTTGTTTTTAAATTTGCAGTGGAACATTAGACATAACACGAAGAAAGAGGCATGGGAGCACTAGGGTTGTTGCCCAGGTGGAAGGAAGGCTGCAGCCTGAAAACGTTTGGGGACCACTGCATTAGAGTCTTAGCAGTCATCTAAAAGCTTGCTATTTGGCCTTTTGTATATACCATGAGCAGTACTTATCTCCCTATACACTTGCTTATTTTATGAGATAAAAATAATATCTTTATTATGTTCTTTTAGCAAATTCTCCTCCAGCAAATCCATTCTAAGTTTCCAGGTTAAACCATCTTAAACCTTATTCCCTTGATCTAATTTCTCAGGACCTTTGTCATCTAATGGTATTTCATAACTTGATAAATGCAGGTTATCATATATGCATATGATGTGGTGCAAATACATATCTTGATATGATAACTACAAATGCTAGACATGGCTTGCATCTCTTCTTTGTGTTTCTAATTGATAATGCAAGGAAGCTTTTTGCCTTAAAGGTCTTTTATTTCTAAACTTTTTTTGTGTTTTGAACAAAAGTTATTTTGCTCCATTTAAGAAAAATTATTTTAATTGTGGGAATCTATTTACATTTTTCTAATACTGCTGATTTCTTTTGCTCTTCTAGTGCAGATGAGCTGTTGTTGACTGAAATGATGTTTAATGGGCTTTTCAATGATTTATCTGCAGAACAAGCAACTGCTTTACTAAGCTGCTTTGTATTTCAAGAAAATGTAAGTTAATTTTGTATAACTAGAAAAGTAATTTGATCTGTCGTAATTTATTTCAAGGGGGATAAGTCGTGCTGCTTCCTTTATAGTCAGAAAAACCATAGTGGCTAAAATAGTAATTATAAACTAATACAATCTTAGATCTCATTAAGCTAAAAATATGTATGATAAGCAGGATCAGGTATTAATTTCCAGGAAGTGCAAGAGGTGCCAAAATTTTTACTGAGTTGAGATTTCTGCCTAATGAATTAAACCAGAAGAAGCATTAAGGGCAAAGTATGCATGTCAAGGAGGCAGATAGAAGCAGGTAGAAGGAAAGTAGGTAGATGAGCAGGAAGTTAGATGTCATTCATAGGAGTCAGTATGAGAAAAACCTACTGTGAACATTAATTTTTATTTATCTGTTAAATTTCTGTAATGCTCAATAGCCAAAGCTCTCTGGGTGGTTCATGACTATTTTTGCTGAATATATATTTTTTGCTGAATATATTTTAGTGTTATCTTTCCTAGATCATAAAGTGTATTGTAGGTTCTTTACATCACTGTGGTCACGATTGAAACAGTCTGAAACATGAACAGAAAGAAAGCTTTTCTGTGCATACAAGGAACTTGCCAATTTGCTTCCTTCCCCTTGCTTTATTGTTCTTCATTACATTATACACAGCTCTTGGAGGAGTTCCATTTTGTGATGAACATGAGGGGATGTAATGAGAAGTGAAGGGACACATGAAACAGAAAAATGACAGCTGATATCTTGGCCAATATTCAGTAAAGAAAAATGTATTATTTAATAATCAAAAGAAAAAAATATCAAAGCACTTTTGGTTAAATAACACATTTCAGTGATAATGCTTTCATTTGTAACCTTTGACTATTATGTTAAGTATTTTGTAGAGCATTTAAAAATGGAAATGTGCTGGTAATGTTAAGGTTTGCTTTTTGTTCCAAGTTGATGTGTAGTATTTTGTAACTGGGAAGTATTTGACCAAAAGAAAGACCAGAGAAGGCCATATTCTGCAGTGGATTACATTGCAATTAGTAACTACGTGTTGCTTTCATAGGAACCTTAAAGAAATGTTAATGTGAACAGAGTCCACCAAACATTGATCATGCTGACCTTCTGCCTGTTTCAGCCAGACTTTCTGCACTAGTTACATAGCAGAATACTGGAGGAAAAATTAGAAACATTTTAAATTTAAGTGAAGTGATTAATTCATTAATACTTTCCTCTTCCTTTTTTCAGTCCAGTGAAATGCCAAAACTAACAGAACAGTTGGCTGGCCCCCTCCGTCAAATGCAGGTAAACCTTATCGTGCAAAACATAGATTGAATTAACAAAAATGACCTTGCCCATTACTCATGTGCATTGCCAATTTCAAACTGAAAGGTCAAACCTTAATTGTTGGATGCTTATTTTTTTTCAATAGGACATTTTCTTACCATAATGTGATTTTAGCAGCCATTCTAGGCTAGTTGTCCCTTTGTTACTCCATAATCAAAACATTTTCTATTTGAGAGACTACATTGGCATAGCTCTTGATGTGCCCATCCTAAATCCATTGTGCAAGCATGTTAAGCTTTGCAGTCCTATCTCTTGGGGTGTTTGGCATTATTTAATCTGTATTCAATTTTAGTATCTTTATTGGACTTCACATTTGAGAACCATTGGATAACTTAAGAGTGGGAGGGCCTATTTTTTATTTTTTTTGTTAGTAAGAAAAGGTGTTTATGTGCCAGTGAGCTTCATGTGAAGCACTCTGTCCAGCAGAAGCATATTTTGCTCTAGTTTTGAAACATCTGTGTGCTTCAGGAAGAGAGTTTTCGTTCTCGTTTTGTGTTGATTTTAAATAAATAAACTGCTTTGCTTTTTTTAAGGAATGTGCAAAAAGAATTGCAAAAGTATCAGCAGAAGCTAAATTGGAAATTGATGAGGAAAATTACCTAAACTCCTTTAGGCCTAACTTGATGGATGTGGTGCACACATGGGCTAATGGAGCAACATTTGCTCACATATGCAAAATGACAGATGTCTTTGAAGGTAACTCTATTTGCATTACTTGTGCTGCTTCCTAAATAGAAGATGGTAGATAGTATGATGGAGTTTGTTATGCAAGATTAAACACCACTCAGTTGTCTAACAAGCTAAAGTGTTGCAACTATCTGAAGTGATTTGCCTTGAGTTATGTTAATTATTTGCATTTCAGAACTGTGAAAAGGCTTGTGAAGCGTTCTGTAACCAGTATTTAATTTTAAATGACTTTAGTATTCAAGCTCTAAAGTACTGTGCAGGTTGGTTTAGTCTGAGATTACAGTTGTACTGACTCATGACTTGTATACCTAGACACCTACACCTGATTGTAAGGATAAACTAACTTTCTCCTGCTAAAAATATCTTCTCTGTATGGTATGTTTTGACCATATATAAAAGTAGATGGGGTATGCCAACATTAGAAAGTGCAGAGATCTCATGGGAGAAGATAAGCAGATAACATCATCCTGTGGGCTATCTAGTAAGGAAAATTTTGCTTATTCATTCCTACCACTTGTATTTGAGGCAAAGGCTTCAAGGTTGTAAAAATGTTGAGAAAAGTATCAGACTTTTCATTCTGTCTCGCCATTGCACATTTTTATGGGTTTCCACATTTTTCAGGTAAGGGATATTAGAGCAGTAAGAGACTAATTTGTAGCAAATACTGGCTGGAAAATTTAAGTGCCTGCAGAACTCACCTCCATTGAGGCTTCCTAACTGGGGGCCTATGAAAGAATCTTCCCTGTCAGTTCTGCTCTGTGCATGCCTTCTGTCCCATTTTCTCGCCCCATGCTGCAAAGTGATGGTGTTTCCTGTGGCAACGGTCGCCTTGAAAGCAGTTGTGGATGGTGCAAATGACAAATAGCTTCTTTGCAAAGATAGCTGTAATTCTTTTAAGGATCGTGCAATGCTATGTGAGTGAAGGCTTCTGTCCTCCATTTTTTTTCTAGAGAGAGTGCAGGATGGCAAAGACTACTATCCTATACAAAATTACATGACAGTTAACTTCACTGACCCTAGTAGGACTTTGGTCCAAGCACACACAGGGATGAAGTGTATGCCTTTCTCTTGCAGGCCACCCTTCTCTAGCTCTAGCGTCCCAGGCTGGTGCATGCAGTATTTTTAATATGCCTTCACCACTATAAACATAAAGTCTCTGTAGATACAAAAGTTGTTTTGAGCTATTTGAATCAGTTTTATAAGAAAGCATTGAGTTAGGTTTGTGTGTGTTTCTTGTCAAGTGAAAGTGCAGCTTTATCCTTGTTACATATTCCAGTGAATGCACATCTAGCTTTCAGGAAAAAGAGGGCATAATATGTAATCTTTTTTGCAAGCCATGTAAATTACTTATATGATACTAAGGCTAATTTTTTAATTAACTGGAGAGGTTATCCTCACTGCGATCATATTTTGAGCGCATTATAAGCATAAAGGCTGGCAAGAATCTCTAGAAAACTATTGTAAGACAGTCAAGGAGTATGCTTGCTTTGCATTTTGAGGTAATGAAGGTCCCTTAACATAGTTTAAGCTAGTTCCAATAGAAAATACCAGTTTTAGTACCTCACATCTTACAGTGCACCTAAACAACTGGAAGTTACAGATCCCCCCGCCCCATTATATCCCCACCACCGTCATTTTAATTTAGGTAAGACTATCAGTCATGCCAAAGCATGGAGAACAAAAGAGTCCTGAAATCACTTTGTCAGATAAACTGTTTATTGGTTGTAGTGAAGCAGTCAGTTCTCTGGATAGTTGTACTTGCAAATGCTGCCTCAAACTGTCCCCTCTCTTCTTCCCTATGCAAATAAGTAGTAGAAATTCTTTCCCATAAATGAACTCTTTGCTGCTAGTAAGTAGACCAGTGCTGCATGCTGAGCCAAGTATCTTGGCACTGAACGTTACACAGGGGTAGGATAATTAAGCTCTGTAAGCTGCCCACAAGAGCAGTTTCCATTGCCAGGGTAGAAATTATATAAAACACAGACTGTCCATAGTAGCATAAGCCCAAACCACCATCACATTTGTTTTGTGCTAACTCTGTGTAAATGGTACATTCTTCCTTTCCTGTGGAAGATAAGTCACCCGTCTAACACAACGGGTTCTGCATCCAAATATGGTGAACAGTAATGCTGATATGCACTGCTCTGTTTGCCATGGTAAAGTTATCGAAGTGCAATTTCAGTACTCATGTATGCAGGTCTGCTGTATTTTGGAGAAAGAATGGAAAGTGCAACCTTTACATAGCTCAATGTGCCTAGCGAGGACTGACTGAATAGGTTGGCAAATGGAGAATCTTTGAAGTGAGAATATTTTACATACATGCTGTTATAATAAACCTACACGGAAGCTTCTGTAGATGTCAGCACACTGTTGATTGCATTTTCATAACAAGGCTCATAAGCAGAATTCAGTCTGTCCCAAAAATGATGGTTTGTTCAGAGTAATAGTCATAGGAACATAGTCATTCCTTGGAGATTATATCTTAGCCTCCTCTGGCTCAGACTTATGTCTTTTTGGTAATTGACTGCAGGTGGCTTTTTATGAGAGTCAATGAATCTGGAATCAGATTTAATTTCTCAATGAGACTTGGCTGATAACATGGTCCTTGTTTCTTTCAAGTTATAAACTGAGAAGGAAAAAGTCTCTGCAGTTCTCCAGGCTGCCCTACTTGTTACAATACTGCTATGTATCCATCTATATACCTCAGGATGTTTTTGACAAATGCATAGTATTTTTCATCATGTTTACACTGATGTAGGAGAGAATAATCTTGGTTCACCACTGATAGGTATATATCTATGCAATATTAGGTTTCCTGCATTTCCTTCTTCTGACACAGAATAAGAAATCTCCTAGTAACCAGAAAAAGAAGTCTTACTGGAAGAGTTAAATCAGTGCAGTAAGGGAAACTTGCAGGTGATAATTAGCCAGAGCTCACCATTTTCCAAGATTTGTATGTGAGGAGAAACTACAGGCTAAATAACTTTGCATATTTAAGAAATTATTCAGCCCTTTTCCAATCTGCTAACATGTCAACTTCTGACAGTCCTCTCTGATCATGCCTCAAACAAAGGTGGAATAGGATAAATGGTGATGCATCTAAGAGGGAAGGGCCAGCCAAAACACTAAAAAGGCTGCAACAACACTACCTTCATAATACAGCTTAATGGGATTCCCTGCTGTAGATCAAGAATGTGTTCAATCTGGTGATCATCACCTTGGAGGAAATTGTAGCCCTACTGATGTTACAGGCCTGGTTGAGTAGGTGGCTATCAAATTACTTTATAGTGACAGCCTTCTATCCCTCATTAGAAAAGGACTGCTTTAATGTAAAGTTATATTTTACCCATGTAGGGAGCATAATTCGATGTATGCGGAGGCTAGAAGAACTGCTTCGACAGATGTGCCAAGCAGCAAAGGCCATTGGAAACACAGAACTGGAAAACAAATTTGCAGGAGGTTTGTATGTACAGTATCTTATAAATACATTAAAAAATGCCAAGTAATTTAAAAGTGCTTGGCTATAAGCCATTGTTTCCCTTTCGAGCTGAATCTAGGCTCCATCTGCCTTTTATCTGCTACGACCCAGTTCTTTAATGGAGCAGATCACAGAAAGGCTTTCAGTGTCTCCACAGCCCCACCAAAATAACTGTGTAAACTTTTGAGTAGGGAACTGGAAGAAATAAGCATTTTAAAGATTTGATACTCACAGTTAAACATGTGTGCATTGTTAATGCACCCTATCTTGCTACTATTGGCAGAGTGTACTTGGCTATAGTCACCCTTATGACTTGAGATCCCTTTTTATCCTCCACAGGCATTACCAAAATCAAGAGAGACATTGTGTTTGCTGCAAGCCTTTACTTGTAGGAAGTGTTTTCTTGAAGTGGTGTGTGAAGAGTACTAGCATCTATTCTGCCATGAAGATTACCATTTCTTCCTCTTTCCAAGCAAGACAGATGCTTAAATTTCTTAATTTGTATGTATTTCAGCATGAGCCTTATACTAGCAAAGCATATTACATAAGCCATTGCTGTTTGTACATAAGTATTATCACATTATTTTAATTAAAAAAGAGCCAGAATACTGTGTTTTTAAAGCAAAGCTTGAACCAATAGAAATTTGAAGTTTTTGGATACATAATTGTTACTATATACATGTAAAGTGAGCATCCAAGAGGTATAGCAGCAGCAGTCCCTTTAAAAGGCATTTAATTTATTTTTTACATAGGCCAGAAAGACTTGTGAAATTTCCCTTTTAGAAAGCAGGAGATTCCACAGGGAATAGCTCTTGAATCTGTCATGGCTGGTGATTGCTGCCATAGTGATTTCCATTAGTAGGTGTCTCATGTAAAGTTGTATGCGAATCCTCCTCCTCCTTCTGTTTAAACGTGCGGCCTCGATCTTTGAAGAAATCAGATACGTATACAGCCTGGAAAGACAGAGTAGGTAGTGTTAGGCAGTGCACGACTACTGGATCAGTGTCACTAAACAGAGTGATCTCTCAGCGAGTGCTGCCTTCCCTGTGCAGGTGGCAGGCTCTGGTGTGCTAGTCGTCCAGCACATTTGCTGTCGGAAGAGCAAGGGCGGGGCATAGGTCTGGCAACAGCCACATGGACCTTCATTTCAATAGAAAGCCTTTTTCTTTTCACAGCAAAGGAAGTACACTGTTTAACTGACTAGGAGGAGAAGTGTTAACAATGGGGACAGTGAAAAGGTACACAAGATGTGCTCTTGTTTTCAGTTCCATAGCAACTTCCAGCTTTATGTAGATGGAGCTAATTTCTCCTTCACTACATAAAACTATAGAAGCTGCAGACAGAACACACTGAACTAGTCTGAGTGGATGTGAAGTCCCCTTCCCTGTTGCTTCCTTTGAGAATTAATATCAAAGGACTGTAGAAGGAATTAGTTTGCCACAAAGCAGAAGTGACTTAATCATAGGGTAACTCTGTATGGACTTACAATAAGTACGGCTACCAATGCTCCCTGGATAAGTCCGGTCAGTACATCGCTCCAATGGTGCTTGTAATCAGAAACACGGGACAGGCCCACATAGATGGATGAAGCAATAAGACCAAACTGTGCTGTGGGGCGCACAAGTCTTGCCCAGTCACCTTTCATTCTGGCCTGAAGATAAAGCTGAAAACAGAACATGTATGTTTAATGAAAGTACAAGAGAGCTGCCTTTTATAATTAGCACTTAATCATTCGAGAGTAGTAATTCACAGAAATGTGTAATTAATTGGCATTACGGAAGTAATTTTTTTATTCCAGCCCCCAAAGAATGAATGTAGAGAGAACTGAATTACAGTGCAATTCAGCATTTGACATTATGCAACTGAGGCAAGTTTTACAGATTCCCTTTCTAATGAGCTTGTAAAATAGATTGCAGTGCTGATATACATTATACAATTTTAATCTAAAAGATGGGTAACAAATTTTCATAATACATCAGGGGGTAGTGATGGACTTCAACCAACCATTACATCAACATCTATGAGTGGATGGATCCATTGAGTAGATGGATCTATGAGCAGGGTATGCCCTAAAACATATTTGCACTTTGAAGTATTTAATACCCAGAAGCAACACACAAGCCCCATTGTGGCTCCCCAAAGCCTTTTGTGGTGTCCCTCCACTGCTGCTGCATTTGTTGCTGCACTGGTGCAGCAACTTCTCCCCCTGCAACAATTTGGATGTAAAACAAAAAGGTGTGCCCCCCCCCCCCACACACACATTTTTGCCACCACTGAATTGCTGCAGTCCATTTGAGGATAGGTGCAGCTTCTGGGGAGAATTGGCCTCCAGATCCCCTGGAGGTTGCCTAGATGGGACTAATTTCATATTTAAAGAATTGATATAATTCCCTGCAATAAAAATTCAAGGTGGCCTTCAAATCAAATAGAAAATATAGAGTAAAACAATATTGAAATAAATATTAGTAAATAAGCACAGCATAAAATAATATAGATAAAACTGAGTGTTAAAAACCCTGGGAAAATAGAAACGGTGCTGCTGGGAACCAACCCATCATCTCCAGGGTGACCATTCACAAGCATGGTGCCACTCCCAAGAAGGCCCCCTTTCCATTACTATGGCTCCTGGAGAAGGGCAGCTTTCAACAACACTGAACTGAAATCTACAAAGTCTTGCACATGCAGGTTAATTGTTTAATGCATATCCCACACTGGATAACAATGGCCCAGCTGGCTGAAGAGGAACTGCAGCTTCAGAACTATGCTCAAGACACTCTGAGCGACATATGACATTTGGGCTACACTTGCAAACTGAGAAACTCCTGTTTCAAAGAAAATGTAACATCACCCAAAACAAAACTGAAATGACTTGCTTGAACAGTCAGTAGTATCTTCTTATCTAAGATGAGTTTACTGGCCCTCAGTTCAGTACTGATCCTAGTTCAGGGGTCGGCAACCCGCGGCTCCAGAGCCACATGTGGCTCTTGAACCCCTCTGCTGCGGCTCCATCGCTCAAAACACGCACCATCACAGCCGCTGATCTGCTCGAAGCTCCACTCAGGAACACAGCAGCGCTAGCTAGTTAAGTAAATCAGCTAGTTAAGTAAATCGCTACATTCCTCTGCTAAACAAGCTTCCTGCAGGCTCTCATGTTACACGAAACCCTGCTGAAAAGATTCTCTTTGTCCCAATGTAATCTCCTTCATCTGAAGGTTAAAAGCTGCGCATGAGACCTGTCACAATTCACAGCACTGTTTATCTGCTAATCAGTCACTAAACACACCTGTATCTCCCTGTGGATCTGCACCGATTTACTGAGTGCCCCCCCCCCCGTAGGCCAACCATGGATAAATCGAAGAAAAGTTTCTGAAGAAAACCAAACATTTAATGATAAGTGGGTAGATTCATTTGCTTTTACTGCTGATGAACTTAAGGGGTTTGCTGTTTAATGCATGCAGCCCTTTACCACTGACTTTGACTCTTCAGGAAGCTGTTCTCTTATTCAAAATATATGAAAGGAGACCTACTAGTTTATAATGTAAGATTAAAAATAACAGTTTTTACTGACTGAACAAGAGCTGCAGCTAAATCATAAAGAAGATATACATAGCATTAAGGTAAAAAACGATATATGCAGTGTTATCTGCATTTTAGATGTCAAAAGGGTTTTGCAGCTCCCGGTGTTTTCTTTTGTGTGGGAAATGGGTCCAAATGGCTCTTTGAGTGTTAAAGGTTGCCGACCCCTGTCCTAGACACTCCTAGACACCACTTTAGCTCTTCCACTGCATCATCTTAATCAGAGGTAATAGAGAATAGATCTGGGTATGGACATTCAATTCCTTATTCACACAGATGTTAAACAGCACTGGGGACAATATGGAATCCCAGTGCCAGTTCCACAGGGTCAAACAGTAGTCATCCCTACCTAGCATAGTCAGTGGTGAGGGATGACGGAAGGGCTTAAACTGCCCAATAATCACAGTGGTTGCCAAGAGTTTCAGAAGAAATTGCAAAGTCATTCATCATGAAAAGGATCTAAATAACTGGACTTATTCAAGTTTAAATCAAGGTAAAAAAAGCATTCATCTGCTTGAACATCTTAGCCCCAAGAAGATTAGCAAGCAGATGATTCTAACTGCCACTTTCTTGATGCTTCAGGATTAGTCTCACACATTCTTTCAAGGTGATTAGAATTGCTCTCTCATGAGGTGGCATTTGCTATTCCTTGCTCCTTGATGTTACAGACCGCAAGGTACAAACATTTAGGTGGTAGGCTTATCCCTGTCAGTGGGGCACATCCATGAACAATGGAACCAAGAGGAAGGCATAAACCTGTCAATTCACAAGTGTCAGCAACTGGATGGGAGGCAAGTTGTGGTCCACACTTCCAAAGACAACTTCAAAGGCCTGTGTATCTATAGGTCCTAACTAGAACCACTGGATTTGTTTAAATGGACACAGAACATGCATTATGGGGTAATAGGTGCTGCTTTCCAATGTTAAATATGTGGGGAATGTCTAACCAGTTTTCCAAAGTAGCTATTACATCATTGTTCTGGCATTCAGCTCTTCTGCTATAAAAAGATTGTCTGAAGTTTAATGCTACATGAAGAAACTTTTAAAGAACCAGATTAAGTCTTTCATAGGCAAGTTCTACTCCAGGTATGTTTGGTTTAAAAGTTTCCAGGTTTGAAGTTTATGTTATTCCGCAGACTTGTTTTTATATATGCGCACACATATTCAGCTTCAACAACAAGCATAGGTATGCCTGCTATTTAACCAATGAAGTTCAATTCAGTAAAATTACACAGTACAGTTTAAGGCTAGATATGATGTTTTCTCAAGGCCTGTGACTTGACTAACTTCTGCACCAATGCAAATCATTTATTCCCAGGGAGAATTACAGCCAGGAGTCGTGCTGGTGGTCTAAAGAGAGCAGGCTGGCAAACAGTGTTTGGCATACTTCCTTCTTTCCACCTTAGGAATTCCACTGAAGACATTGAAAAATGCATTACTTTGCTAATACAGTTTTCTACACATAAGCCATTGCTGTAGTTGGCAGGGACATATTATACACGTAGGAGGTAAGGTGGTATATGTGGTTATGAGTGGGAGAAGACGTTAGACCTTAAGACCGTCCCTTAGAAGATTGTGGTTCATATGCAAAGGGGCTTGAGTGCCTGGAACACGGATCTAGGTGGTAAGATTTCATACTACTTGCCAATATGTCAAAATTGAACGAAGGATTAAAAAATGCCGTGTTTGAACCTCCCTGAAGCCAAAACATATTCACAAAGCAGGACTCCGTACAACTGATGGAAAAACAGGAAACTCCAGTTTAATGTTTATTCATGGACTTTATTTCCACATTTAAAAAGTAGCTATTTAGCCACAGCCATTTAAAATGTGGAGCTAGGCTCTAATGAGACACAGGAGGCACAGGTCAAACTATGTTTGTTTTACCAAAAAGTGCAGTAGCTGCATTGATCTGAAAAAGATGAATCAACTGTTCAGCCCTTTGGTTGTTTCTATGCTGGTAGCTTCCATTAAGCTACACAAACCACCTGTCAGTGTCAAGTTCTGTGTACAGTTCCTGAAGAGCAACTAGTAAATTTGTAGCCTTCCAGACCTACCTACGGCAGCCTGTCACCTCATTAATGTTCCTTTAAGACCAGAGGCCGTTTGTCTTCATTGCACATACATACTTTCACTTTACACACCTGACTGATAAGCCAGGTCATCTGTGTTCAGGTACACCAACTGTCTTGCCACTTGGTTTCATATTTAACAGCTTGAGCTACTGTCAGATTCCTTTCTCTTCCCACCTTTCCCCAAGACTGTGTGAACAAAAACTTTGCATTTGAAACTCAGCAATTGCTGGCACCTACCTTACCGCTACAGAGAATTGCAGCAATCTTCATACATTCTATTAAACAACCACTTATACATGGTTACTAAGTACATACGTCTAATTCTAGCTTGACTATTCATTAAGAGACACATTTTACCCCTTTAATTATCCATGCAAATCATCAGCTTCAACTTGAAAAGATTCTACCACTGAGTTCCTGCATTGCATGGAGCAGCTAGTAACCATTGCCCCAGTTCCCACCACTTTTTCCATCCTCCAAATACTCTTCATTTATCTGGGACCAGATCATGACAGGTAGAAATCACTGCAAAGATTTACTGCCCTTCAACTGAAATTAACAGGACCCGGCAATGAACATGTTAAGTCAGGTTATGTATTACTTATTACAACCTCCCACTCACTACCTGAAATGAGATAATTGTAAGCCACAGGAAAATCATTGAATGCAGTACATGCAGGAACGTGAGTTAAAAAGAGACCTGTCATAGAGGTGATAATTCCAAGGCACCTCTAACATGTAGCCTGGCTTGGAGTAAAGAGGGAGAGCCAAGCTACATGTTAGATAAATTAATGGCTCAATTGTGGAGTTTCTCTACTATCCTTTCTTTGTTCTCTGATGACTATAATGTACCTTAGATGCTTGATGCTTTTACCTTTGTTGGTCCCCTTTTAAAAGTGATTTTAATTTAGTAATTTGAAATGCCTGACTACTCGTTCCTTGATGTGTTTATGGAGCGTGGTTAAGCCTTCACTCAGAATGAAAACAGAGTTGCTTCGCCACATACATCCCG